CAATATAAATCCTATAAATAAAAATATTTCCAATCAATAAATTTCATTTTTTCCTATTTAAATAAATTTCACTCGTCAATTTCCAATAATTAATGAAAGAATTTAACGCGTGGAAATCATATATAAATAATCCCACATAAGTAATTCTCTTGAAACAATTCATCCCTTTTTCCTCTTTGCGATAAAAAAAACATTCCATTCCACGATAAGAATCGGCCATTAAACGCGCAGCCATTAAGAGCTAAACTCACAAACAAAAAAATATAAGCAAATAACGAAGATAAAGAAATAATATCAAAAACCAAAACTAGAAAAAAAAAAAAGAAAGAAAAACGAACATTCACGCACCAACCAATCCAAAATGAAACGCGTACCTGTCTACAAAAAACCGCAAAGAAAAGCAAAGAAGGAAAGTAGTTGAAACACGATCGAAGCGAAACAATGGTCGTAAATAAGAAGACAACAGGAATGGTGGATGCACGTGCAGAGTCCAGTGGCGTGGAAACGTGGGGTGGAAGACGAAAGAGGAATGCCTCGATGTTTTCCTGGTTTAAAACGCGTGTCGAGTATCGGTGAAACGGATGAGAAGAAGAAATTCTCTGGAAGAGAGGAGAGAGAGAGAAAGAAAGAAAAATAGGAGGTGGGAGAAAAAGGAAGAGCGAGAGAAGTTAAAGGAGCGGAAAGGATCGGTTGAGGAGAGGAGAAGGGGAGTTTCGATGTCTTTAAATCGTTCCCGCGAATTCGAGCATTCGTCTATCCACTTGGAGAATGAATGGGCTTGGCTAACCGCGACCATGCTTGTAAATAAGGAAGAAACTCGTGATAGCTGGCTTCTTGGAAAATTTGGGCATTTGTCTATTTACCGCAACTTTCTGAAAATTTAAAAATTTTAGATGGTGCATTTAGATCGTAGGTTTGGAGTAAATTTCTTTTTTCTTCTTTTTTAATCAGTTCGTTTTTCTTCGAAGATTTTTTTTTTCGTATTATACTTCGTTTTAGAATACCTTATTCACTTTATTGCTAAAGAGTTTAATTGATTTCTGAATACTCCATACAATTTCAAATAATAAAGCATAAAATAAACGACTTACTAATATTCATATATTCGTACAATATTTCGAGGAATATTCAAATAATATTTCAAAGCCGTTCTAAAATTTAATCATTCCTTTCAATAATCAAAAGATAGTCACTTTTTCCATTCAATATCCGATCAATACTTCAAACAAGTTTCATTAAAAAATATCCTCGCCAAAGGCGAAAGAAGAAGAGATTGCATTCTTTCTCCATTCAATTCAAGCTAAACGAAATAGTTTTTTTTCACGATCCAAGTGCAACGAAATTCTGGACATTGATCGAGGATATATCGGATAAATAAACGAAGAAATGGAGCGAGAAGAGAGTTCATGCGGATGATCTCGATTCAAAGGACTGTCTGGAATTCCAGGGAATGCAAAGCGCACATCTTCAATGGTTGCTACACTCCTGGATAACGAACAGCTGCGAGACACTCTTCCGAAAGCGGTCTGGAATCCCTTTGAGTCGCGATAAGTCGCGGATTCTCCTTCGTCGATTCAATATCACTGACCATCCTCTTCCAGAAATATGTAAGATTCTCTAAAGAGAAGACAGAATCTGGTTAGAAAAATTAGAAGTCTCGTTTGGCGATTGTTACATTGTGTTAAACGTTAATGCAAGAATGTATAAAGAAGAGCTAACTTAACCTAACTTTTATTACGCATTACTCACATATACGTGATGTATCAATAATTTTCTACAATCTTTATTGTATTTTCTTTTATTTTTGTTAGAAGTTTCATTTGGGATCTAGAATATTATTTTCATTAAAAACAATCTATCTTTCCCTCTTTTAATCTTTATCCACGTATAACTACGAATAATTCTTATTATTTATTTTTACTTACACTCTATTTTATTATTTATTTTTACTTACACTTCACTTTCAATTTATACGTCTTTTAATGGAAAAACAAGATGGAAGATCATTTTTCTATTTAACTTAATAAAATTCTTTCCTCTGCCCCACTTCCACTTCTACCATTATTTACATAACGCATGTATCGTGGCAAGAGGATCCATCTCGAAATTCCGCAATGTTGCCACAAGCGATAGTCAATCAATAACACAAGCTTAATTAAATTCCTACAATAAATAACCTGTAACATAGTTCACATGATAGAAACCTCGAAGAATTTCCCCTAGAAAATCGATCGCAAAATAATCGAAGCTAATATCGATAAATTCCTCGTTGCATAATCTTCGATTGGCCAATTTGTATCTCGTAAATTTCGCAAAAATTTCCACCAATATCTTTCTGCCAATTGTAGAACGAACGATACGATTCGTTCCAGCGCAATTAACGTGCCTCTAATTGCGCATCAAGGGAATGGGAGAAAGGGGAATTGTCAGGAGACTTACGTTGCCGAATTTAACGAGTTTCTAACCAATCCTCTCACGCGTGACAATTTTCGACAATGCATCTGACTTACAAGTTTCGTTTATCGCTAATCAATGGTCGATGAAACATTTGGATGATCGATTTCTGAAAAAAATTGAACATTGAGAAAGATTATAATTCTATAAAAGTGATGGGTGTAACAGAATTTGAAATTAAATTTAGAAAGGAAATTATAGTAATCAAAAATAGTATATCCTTCATTAATAATCTTCGAAAATCTCCTCTATTCGATCGTTAATCGAGAGTTCAATTTTGGAAACGATTGTACAAAGCCCTGTTATAACACTTTTCGGTTTAATTAACGATCCATTCTTGAAAATCATCAAATCGTGCAATATCGTGGGTATTTAGTTAATCACCAGGTTATTTATGGAAATAAATCTTTGATCGATGAAATACGATGAAAATTTATCGATGGATGCCAAATATGCAAAATGCCGGCGGCCAGATTTGATTAAATAGAACTCGCGTCGTTGGTTGTCTTCCGTTCGTGATTTCTTTCCGATTTTCGTGCATGGAAGAAACGAAGGTTGAATGTTTTTTCGTGGAAAAGAAAAAATCTAATTTATTGACGGAGCGTCGTCGATAGATGCCAAATATGCAAAATGGCGGCAGTCAGATTTGAACAAACAGCATTCGCGTCACTGGTTGTCTTCCATTCCTGATTTCTTTCTGATTTTCGTGCTCACAAGAAACAAAGATTGAAAGTTGGATATTTTTTCGTAATATTGATGTTGTTGGAAATCTCTGGAGATGAATGGAAACGGATGTTTGTGATAGAGTATTGATACGATTCTGAAAATGTAAATATTGAATAGGAGGTTAGGTTTGAATTTATGAGACGATTAATTGAGAAGAGGAAAATTTATACGGAAAATTGTTAATTAAGTATTTCTAAAACATTTTTTAAAAGAGATGGAATCTAAAAGATATTAAAACGAACACAAAAATATATTGGTATGCAAAAATATTGATTGAAGCTTATTTATTAAATTAAAAATAATTAAAAGCTGTATTAGATGAAGTAAAACAGATAATTCCATCTTTTTTCATTTAATGCAAATTCCAATCGACCTCAACTTAATAAATAAACTTCGATCGACATTTTTGTACAATGTATAAAATTTTGTATTTATATCGAATTGTAGAATTGTTTCTCCAAAAATATATTAATAAAAATATTAATAAAAAATATTAATAAAAAAATATTAATAAAAAATATTCAATATATTAATATTCAGTGTTAAAAAAATTAAACAAAACATTCAAAGTGATTAAGTTATTTTATTTTGTTTATTTTGTATGCTTTTTATAAGTTTAATAGATTATAACAAAATACGAGGGAATAATGTGAAATAAATTTTGAGATTTGTTCGTTCTACCGTGAAATTCGTGGATTTATAGTAGAATGAGATTCGTGTAAAAGAAATGTCGATACAATGAAGCAATATCGTTGTTCAAATAGGTAGATTTCCCGACTGTCAATCAAAAGACCCACGTTCCAATTCCCGATGAATCCACTTCCACCAAGTTTCCATTTACTACCAACTTTTTCTACTATTACTTTAATCATTGTTATCGATCCATCATGAATCCAAGAATCGTTAAAAATAACAACTGTGACTTCGCGTTCTACAGGTTGTAACGTATATATATATACATCGTATCTATCTTTACTATTATTTAAGATATTGAAAGAAAAGTTTTCAAAGAAAAAAATTTCCGAAATGCTTCTTTCTTAAAACTCGAAAGAATTCAAAAACTATGCGTCATACGGATTCAAAGTTACTCAGAGAAAAAAGGAATTTTTAAAACATTTCTTTTTTTCAGATCTCTCTCAATTCTCCTCAAACTCGAAAGAATTCTAAAAATCAAAAACTAATCTGTAAAAACATTTAATATTAACATTTCCTTAAAGGAAAATTTTTCGAATAAAAAATTTCTCAAACGAATCTAAAAATCACATACAACTAAAAGATAATTCATAGAAAAAATTTAATATTTCAAATGAAAACTTTTGGAAGAAAAAAATTTCCATTTCTCCACTTCTTAAAACTCAAAAGCTAATTCATCAAAATAAAAATTTCTAGAATTTGATTTTTCCTTTTCAGATTTCTTTTAACCTCCCATAAACTTGAAAAAACTTCAAAAATCATGAACCAAAAACTAATCCATAAAAAAATTCAACATTTCAATCCTTAAACGAAAATTTAAAAAAAAAAAAATTTCTCACAAACATTTCTCCTTTTCAAATTCTCTTTCTCTCTCTCTTTTTCTTTCTCAACCTTCTCTAAACTCAAAAGAAACCTTCCAAAAAGCAAAAGAATCGAAAGCTAATCCACAAAAAGATCCAAACTCGCACGCGTCTAACCTATAGTCAAAATTGGCGGGCAGGAAAAAATGATCAAGTCAACGTGTAACTGAGCAGTGGCCCAACTGACGAAGAGGGAAAGAGAGAGAGATATCGAATTTGGATCGCGTATAATTTAATTCGTCGCGTGTTCCAAGCTTTCTACCCCTCCGAAAGGGGGGTTGGTGCGTACACCAACCCCGTGGAACGACACTGGCAGTTGCCAGAAACGAGGAT